GACCGGCGAAGAATCTACCACCTAGCCAGTATGTTTATTGTGAGCCAGCGAACTGAGCGTGAGTACTATGAGACTGTTGGTAGTTTCGTCAGGGTTTTTCGGGAGCGATTGGGTGTGGCACTGCGTATCGATGCTGTGATGGGAGACGCGGAGAAGGCTCAAGTAAATGGATTAGTTGCTATCAGTGGGTTTGAGAACAGCATTTACCTTATGTGCTTTATCCACGTACTATACAACGTACGTAAGCGTATGCAGCACCTTGCCGCAGCCCTTCGAGCTGTTGTGTACCGCGGTGCTCTAGATATGCACTACACGCTTAGCAGGGACCTTCTATATCTGGAGTGGAATCGCATTTCTCAGGAATGGCTCCTGGACGGAAGACTAGAAACTTTCACGAACTATTTCTACATTCAATGGATCGCTAGTCGCTTCTGGCGGTGGCAGATTTTTCATTCGCCGGGGGCTTTTGCAACTACGAATAATCCCTGTGAGGTTTTCAACGCAAGCATAAAGAGATACACACAACGCAAGGCGTGTGACACAAGGAGGTTGCTGCTAAAACTTCTGACGATAACGGAAGACTACTCTATATGCCTTCCCACGTCTGTAGCGGGCGGTCGAATTACACCGCCCAAGGAGGCTACACGATTGGCAAAAGTATTGGTTTCAACGAGTCGGGTGGCTATCTACGCTACGCCCACGCCTTCGGTGTTACGTGTTTTATATGTTGGCGATGATCGAGAGATCCCTACAGAGGTGAATGACATCTCGTCGCTTTCAGACGACGTTCCTCTGAGCAGTGAGCGTCTCGCTTCGTGAATTTCCCCCGAGTGCCTTCAAGATGAGGAAAAACAAAAGGCGGCGAGCTTTTACAGGTCTGCTGTTAAGTGGTCAGTGCGTCGAGCCCACCACGTTGGTATGCCCAGAGAGGGGTGGGTGGTGCGAACAGACTCCAACCAGTGCTCCTGCTACTACTATGAAAAGTTTTTGTCTTGCGCGCACATTATTTGCGGTCGCGCTGCGTACGGTCTCAGCGTTCCTGGCGTCAACGGATACCAACTAAACTTTAAAGATCGACGGATTCGACGAAATGTACAAGGTCAAGGTAGTTCGGATCAAGAATTTGGTGCCAATATACAGCGGACTCAGATGACATTGCCGGGAGGTTTACCCGCACTACCCTCATTTGCACTGCGGTCCGATACGCTATCCCTCGGGTCTTATGCTAGATTCTGGATCATTTGCACTGCGGTCCGATACGCTATCCCTCGGGTCTTATGCTAGATTCTTACGTTCCCAACCAGATTTGGAGTGCGGGTGCGGTGGGAGTAAACCCCGAGGCATGGGATACGCGCCTTCCGGGTAATTACCAGTACGATACGTGGAACATCACCACTCAATACCCGACACCAACGGTGGCCCTGCCCTTGAGGCATACGCGTGGTAGACCTGCGCTAGCATCCCCAGCGCTAGATGTTCAATACGTACTACGCTGAGCTCAGCATACGAATAACATTTCCTTAGTTGAATGACACATTGCTTTGAATTCTTTCGTGAACAAGTCTTGTACTAGTTGTAGTCTTACCTAAGCGTGGCATCACGCTCGGTAAAACAAACCTCTGTTACGAGTTGCTAGTCTACTAGTACATGTTGCCGTACGGACAAGTAAGTGTTCACAATAAAGGTAAACTGTTAAATAATTGTCAACATTAGAGTTCACAATTACGTGCCAGTGTCACTTAATTGTGAACTCTCGGTCCACTATAAATTGACTAGATCGCATTATTGTGAGCCGCAGCCCATCTAGAACTTGGCACATAATTTTAGCACTGTCATTTAGTTATGAGGAGCTACATTGTGTGATAGTATTAGAAATTTAAAGTACTTAACCGAATAGGACCGGTCACTATAAAAAAAATCCTTCGGACCGGTTCACTTTAAAGAAACATTCACTTTCCTCACTTCTTCCCACTTGGCACCCCCTGAGCTAACGAAGGGAGCGGGGCGGCCGTACAAGTTGGCAAGCTACGAGTTTCAGGCCTTGGAGTACTACGACAGAAGTTTGCGGGAGGACGGAGTGGTGCACTACGCAGACTTCCTGCGATACCTAAGAACTATTCCTGAATTTGCCATAATACACAAGGAAACGCAACGATCGCGAGCAAGACGCTTCATGAAACGATACGACCCCGGTAGCGAAGAGGCTGGGGCCGCAATAGCTGCTGTTAATGCCGGTGATCCTGCGCTACACGTGGAAGCTGGTACAAGTGGAGATGCAAATGCGGACAAATCATACCCCGTATCAGATGTCGCTCTCTGCGAATCAGGAGAAGGCCCTAACTCGAAATCAGTGGGAGATTCCGCTCCGATTCCATTGGATGCATCAGTGTTGGAATCAGACTTGGAGCTCCCAGGACCAGTGGCTAGCGTTGAATCAGGGGTGGAATCAGAAAAGAGAAAAAAGCCTCGAATTTGCCTTGAAAATCCAACTGGAGATCCCGACACCAAGCTCCTGCAACAGAGTACCGCCCCATACAGCCTGCGGCCACGAAATAACCTACTTACCCCTGTACGCATCTACCTTCACGCCGCAGGTAGGTCCGCAGAGCTTGTCTCGATTCCACTCTTCGCTGATGACATCGCCAGCGTAAAGGAAGGAGCTCCGATTACTAGCTCCGTGGTTGACTATTGTATCTCTCGTTACAAAACATTCGAACCAGAGCTCATGTTACCTGCAAGATCGGCTGTATTTTCCGCCATTAACTACGCCTACATCAAGCACTCGGGTCGGGAGTCCAGCGCCCCCGACACAATTGGTGATTTTGATTGGAGTGGGTACAAATATGTATTACTGCCTGTGGCGTTTAACGACCACTGGAGCGTTGTAATTATCCAGAATGGCAGTGACGCAAAAAAGATATATTATCACATCGACTCGCTTCACAATGGTCACGACAAGGAGTATATTTTCGCGTGTCTGGACTGGTGGTTTGCGGTTCTACACACGAGCCGTGGGAGATTCGAGGCAGCCAGGGGTTTTCTCACACCTGCAAGCCCCGCCAGACTAATGCGGTAGATTGCGGCATATATATGCTGCACTACCTTTACAAGGTCGCCCAGCATATCAAGCAGCACAAGCCAAGTTCCATCCTGCTGCAGATTGAGACGCTCGCCAAGGGTGGCTTCAATGCCAGCAAGGCCAACCAAGCCAGGACGTCTCTGCTTTCTCAGCTCACAAAGACTATGTAAAAGCTAGCTACTAGGACACAGATTTACTGAATTAAGTCGTTTAAAATGACAAATTTTCTCTTCTCCGTTGATGTACGGCTTGCGCAAGCTAGGTAGGCCTCCATGCCTTGGAGCCTATTAAGCATGGACCCGCTCTAAACTCGAGCAAATGAAGACACGCTGCCCACAGATAACAAAAGCCAGGATTTGCTGTGCAGCAGCGTGCTCGGCGTCGTGCAAACGCGCACTGGCCCTTCTACGTGTGAAAGTGTATACTGGCGGCTATTTTGTGGTGTCTACTGAGGCCGAATCTCATTCTAATGTGGACTTTCACACATCAAATAGCACGCCGGGCTGTTAGATAGATAGCGTAAGTACTTCATCTAATGTACATGAGCTAGGTTTCGATTCAAGGCTAAGGTATCTACGAGCTGATAATTTGCCTACAGCCATGTGGCTTCGTATGTTTGGCATACATATGGGAACCAGTAAATGACACTCGGAAAGCATCTACATCACTCTGTCAGTCAATAGCTATGCAAATAAGTCCGTAAGTACGTCAGCTATGCAAGTAAGATCAATGCATGCGGAAGATAGTGGAAAGACCCTACGGTAATATCATACAGAGCTCAGGGAAAGAATTTCAAGGCATAATATTGGTGTTTGTGGCGATCATTGGCAAATAGTACCTGTCCTAAAAAATACTTCGCGCGAGGAGCTGATCAAACCTTGCTCCAATAGACCGTCGCAATCAAAGATATGGGGTCGACTGCCTCACGGCGATGACGTGCAGATGGTAATATGTTTGAGTAGGCGTATTTACTCCAGCTAAACTGGGATTCCTCACCACTCTAGGCCAATTTGTAGCATCATTTTAGATACTAATCCGTCTTCTGAACAGCGTATATTACCTTTGCAGCACGCGCGCCTCCGATTCGTTTCATTCGAGAAGCTATGCGCTCAAATGGGATTATAGCCCAAACCTTCCCGGGTAAGATGGTGTTCATCTTGCAGATCACGTCAAACCATGGTTATGTCTCCCATAACATGTGAGCACTAAAGGATATTGTGTGCAGCGTTGTTTTGGAACGTAACATAATTAGATCACAGTATACATTTATTATATGTAGTTTCGCTCTAGGTATAAACTCTAAGCCCACCGCAGCGCAGCGAAGGTGGTCAACCCATACTACACCAATCAACCATGCCCTAGCGTCCGCGGAGCGGGCGCCCAGAGCGCTAGTATCTTAAGCATCAAATACAGCAGCCTGTCTGTCCGTCACACCAAATTGTAGTGCCTGTCACGCTTTTCCGAACAAATCATTGGATAAAATAATTTTAATATTCCTATTGGCTGCCGAGCGCAGCGAAGGTGGCCCCGATTGGCCTAAAAGCTGCCGAGCGCAGCGAGGCGGCCCAAATCGGCAGCCCGTGGCGAGCGGAACGGAGGCAAAACACAAGGAGCGACAATCATTCTATCCCGCCGCGTAGCGGCGGCACTCGGCTAGTTAAAATACCAAAGCTAGCAGGCACTCACAGAATATTTTAGCTTTACTTGCGAGACACTAACACGCAGCAACGTTATTCGGGATGCATTAGACTAATACAGTAGCACAGTTATTAATAGGACTTTATTTTTTATCGTCTAATATATAAAAGCGCTTGATATAAACTATCAAATTTCAGAGGACTGCTATTACTGCAGATTTAAATAAAAATGCGACTGCTAAACTTTTGTGGATCGCCGCGTCCCTTATTTGTTCTTCAGCACCATGAGTACGACGCAGCAAGATGCCGCCGCAGCAAACGCCAATCCGAGCGGCACCATCAAGACGAGTGTGTCTATCTACTTCTCAATACTGGGAGCAGGACTGATACTATTCGAGAGTCTTCGTAGACGCTTCCGTCGCGCTTACGACAATCGTCGTCAAGAGGAAGATATTTTCAACATGTCCACTTTGAATTCTCGCAGTGATGGACTGTTTCACTGGGTTCCAGCAGGTTTCCGTGTGTCGGACGATGAAATTTTGCAACGATGTGGATTGGACACGATGACATTCCTTCGATTCCTGAGACTTGGTCAGAAGCTGGCACTGTTGGCTGTGGGTTGTTCCGCGGTGCTGTTCCCGTTATATGCAACGGCTGCGCAGCCACGAGTCGAGCAAGGACTAGTTGACCCACTGACTCGGATTTCCATGAGTAATTTACCTGAAGGGAATGACAGACTGTGGGCCCCGACAGTCGTAGCGTTTATTATGGCAGCATACGCGATGAGACTGTTAATCAGAGAGTATAAGCTCTACGTGCGATATCGTCACGAAGTGTTGGGCAGGATGGAGGCACCACAGTACTCGGTGCTGGTCAATGACCTGCCACTGCATCTGCGAACGCGCCAAACGCTCGAGATATATATGTCTAAGATTTTCCCATCGTCGATCCGAAACGTGTATGTGGCGCTAGAATGTGCCACGTTAGAGATGTTAGTGGACCGACGTGAAAAAGTACGTGGAGCTCTTGAACATGCGCTGTCAAAGTGCGAGCGATCACGTATGAGACCGCGACATCGAGAGGGGAGATCGAGAATTCGGATGATGATGTGTAAAACCGGAAGTCGAGGTTTCGAGGTTGATAGTATTGATCATTACCAGGACCAATTGGCAACACTAAACGAGGAAGTCGCGAGAGAGATTCGAAGTATTGATGACGCTCAGGAACAACTTGCGATTCAAGTCGAGGAACAGGAACGCGAAACTGGAAGTTTTAACGATGACGAAGAACTGCAGTTGCCAGAATCTAGAGGAGGCTGGGAAAAAGTGTCAAAGAAGACGAAAGAGCACGAGGATTCGAAGAGGGCCCCACTGATCGATCGTCGTGGACGGGCAGAAGAATTGCACAACAGTTTTGGAGGTGACGAGGAAGACGACATTGATGAGAAGAAAGCGCGCCGACACGACAGAGAAATGAGTCAGGACGAGCGTGAGCAAGTTCGCAAGGAACGACCGATCCGGGTGATGAGGAGAGCAGCGTTTGTTTCATTTTCGTCGCTTATGTCAGCACAAGTTGCACAGCAGGCGCTACAGTCTAAGGACCCAGAGTGCATGACTGTTGTGCCGGCACCGCATGTGGACGACATTAACTGGAACAACATTGGGCTTCGCTATCGCACACGATCGCTCGGAATGCTTGTGTCGTCCTTGATTTCGGCCACAATTGTGCTATTCTGGACGATCCCCACTGCTTTTGTGGCCTCGCTGGCTACAGTTGAGTCACTTCGACGCGCGCTTCCGTTTTTGAACAGGGCTTTCGACGAATATCCGCTTCTTCAAGATATTTTCAAACAGATCGCACCGCTTGCTCTTGTGGCGTTGAGTGCGTTGGCACCGATCGTGTTCAGTTTTCTATCGGGTAGAGAGGGCCATCCGTCGAATACTGAGGTTCGTGCTGCCCTCTTCACGAAACTAGCGTATTTTCAGTTGGTCCAGATTTTTTTTGTGACAGTGATAGTCGGAACCATCTTGGACAGTCTTAAGGAAATTCTGGATCAGCCGAAGAAACTTGTGTCTATGCTTGGTCGCAGCATGCCTCAACAATCGACGTTCTTCATCTCGTACGTGATCGTGCAGACAGGATTGGGCCTCGTGTTGGAGTTGCTACGTGTCGTTCCGTTGATTTTGTCTGCACTTTATGCACTTTTGGCTCCGAAACACACGCGACGTGAGCGCAATTCGCCGTGGTTGGGTCTGCGTGATATCGCACAGACCAATCCGTTTGACCCGACGAACTCTCTTGCCGATAGTTTTCTGGTTTTATTGGTCACGCTGACATTTGCACCGATCGCGCCTTTGGTTTGTTACTTTACGTGGTTTTTTTTCTTCGTGGCCGAGATAGTCTATCGTCGGCAGGTACTCTGTGTGTACAAGCCGACGTGTTTTGCTCTGGGAGCGTACTGGCCTCGTATGTTTAAGTTTTGCATCATCGCTCTCGTCGTTGCTCAGCTCACTCTCATCGGAATTTTGTCACTCAAAAAAGCAGCTACTCCCTCGATCTTTATCGTTGCGCTCATCGTTATCGTGCTGTTGTTCAACTACCACGTTCTCACTCTCTACCCACCGGTAGCCAAGTATCTGCCGTTGACGGACTGCGTGCGTCTGGATACTGCGCGAGGCCTTCGTGATCCTACAGCACCGAAGTTTTTCTTTTTGGATAACGTCTATCGACAACCAGCACTGAACCAGCGAGTCCCTATTCGTGCAGACTATCGGATGTTGGTGAATGCCTACAGCGACGAAACAGCATTGACATCGCCTGAGGTTTATTCTGCTGAGGATCAGCACTTGTTTACTAGTGTAGTCTGAAGAATGGCGATGCGCAAGGATGACTACGGTAGTTGTCACTGGATTAAACTGAGCAAGTGAAACAACATTAATTTTGAATATGCAAGTCACTCAACGTCGAGTTTTGCCATTGCCTAAATGTTTGCGCACATTTTGGCAGCTTTTTTACGAGCATACTCGCCTACCCAGTCCTGCTCTTCAATAAGTGCAGATTCCACGTCGATAAGCCAAAGCAATGACCGACTGATTCGTTGTAAGCAAGCTTTAGCCTTATCTGCATCAGCTCCTGTAATTTGCATCCTCAGGTCGGTCACAATCACATTTCGCAGTCGTTTTTCTATCTGCACCTCGACTCCAAACTTTTGTCGCAGTATGGGCACTAGCAAGACCTGAAACCCCGATGCAATCTCCCCGGAAAGGCCATACAGATAGAGAGGACGACGCTTTCCTGTGCCACGGATGGCATTTGTGAGCCAGTCGTGCAGCCGCATTCGTTTTGCCTTGTCGGTTGTCCAGCTGTCTACTAGGCGACGCAAAATGGAGAAGCAGATGTGTTCGGCTTCAGCCTGTTCTTCTTTGGTTTGGCACTCTGCCGTGTGATCCACCAAGGTTTCGTACACTGCTGCCGAGTTTTCCCAAGAAGTGTCGTCACCTTCAGACAGCAAGTCTTCACGCTCCTTTTCGCAAGAAACGCACTGACGTCTCAGAAGTGTCTGCATCTTTTCCATGCGCTGAAGCAAGTCTGCTTTGTCGCTCTCGACAGCGCGTCGTGTTTCATACTCGTATTTCCACTGAGCTCGAAATCGCAGAAGTAGATCTTGCAACACGGACGCTTGTTGCTCCAGAAATCTCAGTCGTGAGCTGGTTCCATAGCCCACTGGACCAACAGTGCTGGCAGGTAACTCACCCAGGTTTTGGGCTTCTACTGGTGAAGACGTAAAGAGGTTAACAAAGGCTGTGCCACCCTGCGGAGGCTTTTTAGGAGAGCGAACTGTTCTTGATATCCCTTCCAAGAGCTTGAGATTTAGCACTTGTTGACCGAGATGATCCAGCTCAGCGACCAGGCGGTCGTTCTCGTCGCGAAGACTGAAGCGTTCCTCCAAAGCCGGATATGAGCTATCAACTGGTATTATTTGAGGCGGTAAAGGGGCTGTGGAGGCATCTACTCGTCTCCGACTCCTGTCTCCCAGTCGGCGAGGCGAGTTGCGTGGTGATACGGGTATATCGTCGTCTCCTCTGGTAGTCACTGATCGCATCTCGTCTAGCTTTCTGGCGCACGGATCGTCTAAACTTTGGTAGATTTCAATTGTATGGCGCAAACTTGCGATCAGTTCGCGCTCCTCTTCTCGTTCTTCGGCTGAAGAGGCAATTTCACGGGCTTGTTCTTCCACTTTTGCACGAAGTAGCTGCACTTCAAAGTCAGTCTCACGTAGTTGAAGCTGGAGCGGCTTGAGCTCTCCGATTTGCTTGTGAGCACTCGCAAGCTCCCTTCCTAGTACACTATTACGACGGTGTGCCTCCTCAAATTTGGTCTCGACTTCAGAGTCACTTTCTAGTACGGTAGGCATGGAATTTCTTCTTACAGCCGGAATGAATTCCTGCTTGTCTGGACTACCACCGCTGTGCGCGGGTGAAGGTTCCTCCGACGAAGGAGGCTCATCTGCGGAGGGGAAACATCCCAACGACGGGCCCAATTCTAGCTGCAGTTTGAGACGTGGAGACAAGCGCTTGTTGCGTCTCTTTCCAGGTGATCGGCGGTTGGTCTGAGCTTGTGTTTGAGCTTGGAGCTGCGTTTTCAACTCGTCTATCTGCTCTTTAACATTGCTAAGCTCGGATAATACTCCCTGATTCTCTCGAATGCACTCGCGCAGATGCTCGGACAGTTGTGTTTTCTGCTGCTCCTTCTCGGCTACGAGTCGAAGTAGTTCTTCCTTCTCACTCTCAACTTGTGCACATTGCTCTTGTAGCTGATGCAGCTCCTCATGCAGCTGTGCGTTCTCTTCGAGAAGGCGAATTCCAGCTCTAGCTGCGTGTTCGAGCTCCGTCTCTTCGTCATCTTCGCCTTCTTCGTCACTGTCTGGAAATTCTCCAGGGGCGTCTACTAAGTGTGATTCCTCAACGTCTACTGCGTCTGGAGTCTTAGAACCTTCACGACTCGCATCTCCGCTGCGCTCCGTTGTTGATGATCGAGTCATAACGAGCGCAGTGAGCTTCCTAGCAACAGATAATCTTCAGGGTAGACGAAACAATGCTATGGTCCATGCGCCTTTTCTTTATATAGACTAGAGAAGATCTTGAAGGGACTCGTCGTTAACCCCTCCAACCAGTGTTGGCAGTGAGTGTTTATACGTCCTTTAAAAAACACGTGTAATAACGCCTCAAAATACAGTTTATACGGTAACTACGGTTTATACGGTCTCAAAAGACACGGTACAGTGTACCAGTGCGCTTACAGACTGTATCTTAGAATCTCGAATAATAGCCCGTTGGGACAAGGCAATGCCTTCAGCATGCCTTAGGTATGCTGAGGTTTTTGCTACTTCAATGCTGTCGAGTCGACAGCTTCGAAAATTCGGCATTGCCATTGGCAATCTGCTAGTCGGCCGCAGACTGTGCCACAGAACTCACTTTGCAATTAGAGATCCAGAGTCAAGTCGTTCTCGTCAAATCTAAGGCTAAGGGCTAGTCGTCTCAACGGAGACTTAAAGCGGTACACAAATACGTATTCTGTAATAACCTCAGTTGTGCGCTTAACCGAAGCGTATGATGTGTGTTTTGTTTTTGCAGAGCAAGCACACCATGGGTCGACCACCAAGTGCATCTCGGACCCATTTTGTTAAAGTTTCCGGCGTGAAGGCTAATAAGAGTCACTATTTCGTTCGCTGCAAGCACTGTCTCGCTGCCCATGCAGCTCGATCAAAAGCGCGCACGCTTCAAACTCCAACCAGCCGCGAGCCGGATTCCCCTTTGCCAGACACGATGGTTGGGAGAGTCGAGAATTTCAGGAGACACCTTTTGCACTACCATGATATCGTTGAGGAAGATGGTTCATCAGGAATACGACCTTTTCCACCGCCTCCACTAACCATGACCACGCTGCATCAGCGTCGGAAAGAGGAAGATAGCGATCAACAACGCCACACCTCCCTCTCTACCGATGAGTCGCTTTCAACTACGTACCTCCGCATGTATCCCCCCCAGCAACAGCACCAGTTTGAACGCTTTTTGCTGGAGTTTCAAGTGTCACTGGCGTTACCGGACTCGTACATTGAGCATCCCGCGACAAAACGACTCTTTCAGTTTCTGGATCCCCGGTGTATTGGCTCAATACCCTCTCGACGTGTTCTTGGCGGACGTATCTTGGAATTTTTCGCTAGGGAATTCTTGGAGCTAAGTGCTGCCGCGTTACGCAAACTTCAGGAGTCCACTGGAGGGCGTGTTAATTTCCTCAGTGATGTTTGGCAAAATATTGCTAAGACGCATTTGCTTGGTGTGCACCTTTCTCTATTTGGGAAAATATATATTCAGGGCATGCACGGGGTCGGGTCTGAGCATGAAGGTGTCGCAATAGCTCGACAAATGGAGGAACTAATTATAAAGATGAATCGGGAGGGGTGGAATATCGGTGCCGTCATAACGGACAACGCTGGGCAGTGCGCTCGAGCGCGTCGGATCTTGGCTCTGCGGTGGCCAAACATTCATTTCGGCAAATGCTTCGCACACGATATCAACAATCTTGTCAAGGCTGTCTTGAGAAGAACCGGTTTTTACGCAGTTGCAGACGAAGCGTCCGCTGCAGTCAAGTCCCTAAACAGCTCGACATCCAAGTGGCTACCACGAGTCAACGAGGTCATTGCTAGCACATACGAGCTTCGAGGTGACAAGCCTCTTGCATTGCTCACACTTTGCGACACCCGATGGAACTCAATGCAAGGCTGTTTTGCGTCTTTACTTCGTGTCAAGACCGCGTTAAAGCAATTTGTGGTGAGGTACCAGAATTACAAAGACCTCCCACGCGCTTTATGTGTATTCAGAAATGATACCTTTTGGAGCTCGCTGGAGGATGCTGAATTGACGATACGACCCCTTTGTAATGCTTCATATATTCTTCAGCGCGATGAAAACACTCTAGTGGATGTGGTATTGTGCTACCGTGATATTTTCGACGGGTTCGTCTCAAGCCCGCACGCGGATGAGCTAGTTCAGCTTGTGTAAGAACGCTGGCAAGATTGCGAACAGCCGCTAGCTGGCGCTGTTCTTACACCCTTTTCACGTTCATACCGCTAGAGCCCTGCCTCGCACAGCTATTTCATCGGTCACAGCAGCATGCAACTTTGCGGTACTGTATTTCCAGCGTTTTTTTCCGTGTCGCAGTCTGGGTCGACTTCGGGACCAAATGAGCCGGTGGTGTAACCGTGAGCTGTATGTCGAAGATGACGAACAGTTTTCAATCCGTGACTTTGGTGGGGATGCCGCAAGCTACTGGAAGTATGCCAGGGATTTAAGAGCAGGTACAAACCTGCCTGATCTTGCAATTGCTGTGCTGTCAATCGCTGCAAATACAGCGACTTGCGAGCGGTATTTCAGTGAGGTCGGGCGAGTTCATACAGCAACGCGAAATTGCCTCAAACCTGATAAAGCAAACAAGTCTGCAGCAATGCGCCAAGCTGTTTGGGATCGAGATCGTTTCCGTGAAGAATCAACCAAGGCTGAATGTCATGATATCGATGATGAGCGTACGGAAGAAGATAGTGAAGGCAACAAATACGTTAGCCGCATCATCAAGCCTGACGAGCGTCCTTTTCGAAGCGAAAGTTTGGCTTATGATCCCACAGCATTGGATATGTCAGTAAGTGAAGTTTCAGTTCGCTCCAATGAAACTTCAAGTCGCCATCTCTCCACGAACATCTCTTCGACTGCTCCAACCCATTACGGTGCCCGTACGTTAAGCCGTCCAACCATCCCAATTTATCCACATAAATGCTTATCGAGCATGCCGGATTCTCTAACAAAGAGCGAAGATCTACCTGGTCAGCTGAACCCGAGCCGAAGGTTGAACTTTTCGAGTGCTGGCACACATCAGATGCAAGACGATGCGGCTTTTGTAGCACCTGTCGATGGAGAGCGAGCCAATCTCAATTCGCCACATTCTCTTGAGTACTCCAGCAATATGTTAGCCAACAATGACATCCTTGCACATTGGCGATGGTTATTTGATGAAATATCAGACACTTTATCAATAGATGGCACCTCTGCGATCGATGGACGTCAAGCTATCGACGGCGCCGTACAAGAATCTCGCATGTTCGGAGAATATGTTGATAATGACCAACCTGACGTAGTGATGGATGGCGAGGATGACTCTATTCGACTCCGTGGACGACCCATTCCACCTTACAATGATCCACAATTTCCCCAAGAAAAAACACTGGCAGGTGTGCGAGGCAAGAAGGCAACCCTGAAAGAATTGTTTTATCTACCGAGCGTGACACCTGCGTAGCTCAAAACCGCCATCGTTTTGAGATGCTGTGCTAGCTGTGCTGACGTTGGCGACTTGGCTATGCCCCAACCTGACGTAGTGATGGATGGCGAGGATGACTCTATTCGACTCCGTGGACGACCCATTCCACCTTACAATGATCCACAATTTCCCCAAGAAAAAACACTGGCAGGTATGCGAGGCAAGAAGGCAACCCTGAAAGAATTGTTTTATCTACCGAGCGTGACACCTGCGTAGCTCAAAACCGCCATCGTTTTGAGATGCTGTGCTAGCTGTGCTGACGTTGGCGACTTGGCTATGCGCTTCCACATCCAAGCTTCTCAGTTGGTAAGCCAGTGGCGACTCGAAACAGCATTCCGGGAAGGGTCCACATCTCCATTACATGAGTCTTCGGTTTGTAGGTATTTTCAGGGCTTTGATGATAAACCTCATACAACAAGCTATCGAGATAGTTAGCATGCACTCGTTCTTATTGTTGTTTCAGCTAATGAGAAGCACCGCGTTTGCCAAAGAGGATCGGAATTGTGAGCTCTTTTTTCCAAGTAGGTGATCACTGCTAGCGCGCCCGGGTTACGCATTCATTAAGTTTGATACGGGGGTGTGTGATCGTCATCGTGCTGTTTTCACGATGAAAGCATCTACCGTTAGTACAGTAAACGAGCAATGCTTAATTAGAAAAGCTAAAGTGTAATAAAACGAGTACTTTAAGTATTTAAGTAGGCCTGGCTGACGTTTCCTCAAATGCTGCTTGTAAACTAAGGCTCAATTTGATAAGCAAATGGTCCAAGAAAGTCTGCAACGACACAATCATCGTAGTACCACCATGGGGGTGGCATCCCACATGCGTAACGACAGCGAGTCATATCCAGAAGAGCACGGCTCCGCAGATGTTCCACGAGAGCTCCAGTGTCAACAGGTAATTGCCCGCCTTGCGGTAGCTCAGTCGAAGAAGTTTTGGCTGTCGTTCCATGTCTCAATCATAGACAAATCATTGAATATACATGTAGGCTTCTGTTCTTTGGCTTCTGCAAGATGGTCGTCCAATTTCTTTGGCATCTCGGTGAAAATGTCAATTAGGTGCAAATTGTGCTTGGTTTGTCAGAAGACGTCGTCTCTGATGTGTCACATGCTCGGTAACGTCTTGATCACATGCCACACGGAACCACGAGCCCATTTCAAACACCATCAGCTCAGTGCTTTGGTCAGTGAAGAATTTCAAGTCCTCGTAGCGCGTCCTGCCACAGTGCAGCATCTTAGCGGCCATGTTGACGTCCACCACTTAGCCGGTCACACACCGGCTTGTCATCGACCGTGGCATACACCAGTTCCATAGTCGATGGTATTGCAAAAACCGAGACAATGATATTGGTACTGGACGCTCCTCTATACCAATATAGACTTTGTTTTTCTCGTCATGCGAGTATATAGCTATAATCCATACGCCGCGCGGTCGAGACGATGCTGGTTTCCGCAGAACTTAGCAAGAGCTGCAACGTTGTAAGCATACAACTCACTGCCATCACATCGTGTACGTGGTTCTTGGGTAGCCTTGTGTCGAAAACCGGTCGATCCAAGTAAAAAAAATCATCGTCCAGAAACACCAACTTGATACGCTTGGCAATACGTCACTCGTTGGTGGATCTTGACGAAGCATTTGCCTCAAAGACCTTCTCGATGCTCATCATGACCACAGCTCTGCTTCGAAAGCGCCTTT